TTAAATGAGTGAAAACTGAATTTAGTGACTAATCAGTCCTCTAGAGGAGTGTGCTCACCTTGGCCTTCTGGTTCTGGACAGGCAGATAGAGTTTAAACTCTGCAGGAAGCTCGTCCTCAGAGTAGAGTCTGTCTGAAAAATAAACCCTCCTGATACGACAGTTTGCATGAATCTGAGGAGAGAAGGAGTTGAACGTCAGCGAGAGCAAGAAAAGCACCGGCAAAGCGTAAAGCGCCAGCAGACGGCGGCGCGCTCGCCTGTACGCGCAGTGTCTCTGTGTAATTGGTCCCGTATGCTCTCCTGGTGAAATCCGACAGGTTGAACTGAATCTGGTTCCAGCCGTCGTCCAGCCTCATCGGCATGGTGCAGATGAACGGCTTCACCCGCGTTGTGCTCTGATAGTTGCTCGCCCGGAACCGTCGCCGGACGTTTTTATCGTCCAGCACCTGAGAGGACGTGAAAAAACAAGAGGCCGTGAATGTCAGCCGCCGACGGAGGTCAGCGGCACTTGGAGGACCTCTGAATCTGTACCTGGACTTCAAAAGTGAAGTATTTCCTCAAGTTCTTAATAATCATCACCAAAAAGGGAAGCTTGATCCCGAGAGTGTTCTTGGGATCTGCAGGACATGTTATATAGGTGGTGCTGCACAGAGATCAGAAAGGACATTAAAACAAACACATGTAACTTCTCCTATGTTCTAGATTTTCAGCACAATGTTGATATAAAAAAAATCAATCATTGAGGTAAACATTGACACCTAAAGGTGTGAGGATGTGTCCAGATCCTCATGGACTTTGGTTTTGGAGTTTGGTTTAAGAACAGCAAACTCCAAAAACCCTGGAAAACAAACCCACCTGACGTTTGTTCCCTCAATCTCCAGCACGTTTGAATGGATGTCGTTGTCGGCGACTCTTTTGATGTGACCGTTTCTCACCTGACGACACAAAGAAGCAGGTTGAACTCTTGCTTTCTGAGGACTGTTTGATCAATAAATCATTTTTTTGGTGTAATTCTGGAGCCTACTAACGCTTTGTGAAGTGCGAAGCAAAATTTTGAACTGATATTGAATTTTATATTTTATTTTAATAGTCAGTAAAATGTTACACAATTAATGTAAAAAAAGTAAATGACAGCTGGTGGAGATACGGACAAGTAAACCTGTTATTTAGTTTGGAATCAAAATTACTTCATTGATGTTCAGATCATTTTGAAACAGCCACCTTTTTTCAGAGTTGCTGATCAAAGATTTCAAGCAGCAAAAACTGAAAAACAGTCAGAGAAAAAGAAAGTACATCCTCTTTCAATCCTGGGATTTTATAAACAGTGTTGCACTTAGTCATCAGGTTTAGATTGGCTCTTATTAATTATCTATAGGCTAAACTTGAAAAACCTATATTTCCCCTATTCTACCCAAGGCCCGGGGGCCAAATCTGACCCACCATAGCTTTTTATGGTGACTCCAAATTACATCAACAAGTCCTTCCAGTTTTTCACAAATCTTCTAAATTTACACAAAATCAACAAATCTCCACATTTTTTTTCTGATTTTACTGCAAATTTTCTGAAAATTGGTCAAAAGCAAAGTGACTGCTGCCAAAAGAATCACAAAATCCTGGAGGAACAGCTATGTATTGATATTTTAACAGTTCAATCAACATTCAGATTTTTTTTTAATTGCCCGAAATAAAAAAGAATTTGACTCCTCTGCTCTGGGCAAAACCCTCTAAAAACTCCACAAAGACATCATTTATCAAATACAGCATGAATGAAGCAAAACATGAACTCCCCTGCTTGAGAACCAAAAGTGTTTTTGTATATGATCGTCTCCATAGCAACGCATCGCAGTCCAGCTGAACATCATTGCTGTTTTGTTTTAATGGTTAATTAATGACAGTGTGAAATCTGACCGTGTATGTTTTTATATAAAGAAGGGTAGATTTTTACGATTTTTTTAGATCCAATAATTATCACATTATATCTTTCTACTTATAAAAAAATAATATTAATCTTAAACTGAAGGAGGGTGTAGTTTCTAGTTAAAAGCACAGACGCTTAAATCAGATAAACAAATGTCCAAGATTTCGAGTCAGATTTTCATCAAACGTCCCTGATCACTACTATTTTAATTTAGTGATTGTAATGCCTGGTTATAGTTCAGAAATAACCGAGCTATTAGAAAAAAAGCTATGCACCAAAACGGTCGCTGTTTAAAGGATTTGAAATGATTAAGTTGGAACAAAAGAGCTATCTAAACCAAAATTGACAACTTCATAAAAGTAGCACATGATGCCAGGTAGCTTTAGCACTACTTAGTAGCTAATTCGGATTAAGCTCACACCAACAAAATCCAAATTACTACTTACTTTTTTGTCCCATATTTGAAGCGGTTTGCTTCCGATGCTGTACAATATAGATAAAAACCCGCTTTGAAATGTGTTCTTGAACATTTTCTACGCCTTTAACACATCCGTTTCCAGCGACGAGTTTGTTTACCAGCTCTGCTTCCGGTCCCCGATACAATGTGAAATAAGCCGTTCCGCTCTCAGATAAAACAAATATCGGTGTAACGTAAAATTACACTCGTAGTGGCATTGACTCGATAAAATACGCATATCCCAAAAGGGAAGTGTAAGACAACAGAGGTCAGCATTTTAAATTTGTTTTGGTGCTGCTAGGGAACATTTTTTTTATCGTGTTTAAACGGAGTTTTTAAATGTTGACACAGTAACCGCGTAGTCATAGTAACCATGGAAGCGCTGAGGTGCAGTCTGGGTAGAAACGATACGTCAGCGTGTCCGCCATGTTGTGAAGGCAAGTTTGTTTTAAAATCAAGGCGGAGGGGCATTTCTTTATACCAGAAATAAAGAACTGAAAAGAAGAATTTTAAAATAGATAAACAGATTAATACAATTTATGCACAACGTTATTAGCTTCAGAGAACAGTAGAGTTTTCAGTCCATATTTTGGAATGGTAGGTGGATTCTGCACAGCTTTTTTTCCTGGTGTTTGTCATGTCTCTGGCAGCAGTAGTTTGACTGCCCTGTTTTTCTTTTGTTTACTTTTGTCTTTCCAGAGACTTTTCTTTGTATTTTTTGTTAATAAAAATATTGAAAAATAAAAATGCTTCATTATCATTGAAAAACTTACAAATGAGCAAAATGGCTGGCATTCAATTTCCAAATGCACGTTCACCAGGCCATCTCTATAAATAGATATCCTAAACACAACTCTGAGAGCTCCTTTCAACCTTCTAAATTTCACTTAAGTGAGACATCCATCCTCTCTGTCTGCAACACTTTAAACATCTGGCAGAGCTCTCGAATGTTTGAACATATTTAAAACAAGTCGATCAAGAATTCACCGGCAGTGTAACATTCATCACATGTCCCCGATTGTTGTTTTGAAGAAAATGAATTCAAACAGCTTGACCAGCACAAAATCATAGCCCCATTTTACTATTTCTCTCCAGACTAAGTTTAATCATTAGCAGTTCAAACAGTATCACTAAAGATAGATTCTTTAAAACCTTAAAGAGAACTAAACCCAACCATAATTATTGTTTCAGTATAACGTAGAAATTATGTGACATTAGTTACACACAGAAAATGTACATTTTAGCACTATTTGTGGCATAGGATGGTATAAAAATAAGCTCTTTGCTTGCTTATATTCTGTATTGTTCAATGGACTGAGAGCTATGATTTTTTCCCCTCTATGTATGGAAATACTGTGCCGCCATGACGTTGTGACATCCGGGTGACAGCCGACAGCTGACAGAAAGTTCTTAACTGTTATAATACACAATTTGATCACTGTTGTGTTTTTCCAACGACTGCACATTATCAGTTCAGCTATGTCAAGTTGATTTTTTATTCAAAACACATCAGAGAAAATTGAAAAGTGGAGGAAAATACTGTATTTATTTTGTAATTTTAACTAAACCTACGCACCAAAATTGGAGACTTGAAAGATAATAAATATGGTTGAAACTGGATGACAGTTTTGACAGAAAAGTGGATCTGACTGGTGGTTTCACTGAAGGCTGAGTGTCTCTGTTTCTGTAGAGATCACAGTTGAAGTTGGTAATGATCAGCTCTGGATTCTGACCAGTAAATAAAGTTTATTTACTGGAAACATCAAAACAACAAGAAGCTCATGATTTACATTTAAATCAAATCCAAACTGAACATTTAATTAAGATCTGTTGACTTATATTAGCATAGAAAAATTGATAAAGATAAAGAAACATGTATTTCACAAAACTCTATTGTACATTTCTAATGAATAATCATATTATTTAAAGGCAGATCAATAGAAACAGATCTATGGAGAGTGAAAAGTTTTAACAAATTAATGGCACACTTAAATAATTATTACATAAGTTATTTATTGTCATCTCACACTCTTCACTGTCCATAAGGAATTTGGTTCAGGTGAAACCTATGGAGAAATTAATTTTTCTTAGAAAAGCAAACTAAATCTGTTGTCACCTTAGAGACACGTACGGAGCGCCATTCAGGCAAGAACTGCAGCTGCTGGTGCCATTTTGTTTGACATTTTTCAGAAGTACATTTAGCTCATTTTCTGTCTTCACTTTCACTCCGTCAGCTTTGATTCCAGGTTATTCTCACCTCATCAGGGCGTGAAAGATTCCTCCACTTTCTTCTCTTCCCTTCAGTTCTATAAACCTTTTGACAAACTTCCATATGTTATCCCTTCATCCCTGCTTCAGTCTTTTTCATGTCAACGTTTCAGATATCCACAAAATGAATTATTGACAGAGAGCTGGAAATGACTGGCATAAGGAGAAACATGGACAGAAGGTTCTGGTGAGGAGAATATAAACTGAGGTAAATGGGTCAAGAGGAGGAGGATTGGCGTATTTGGCTGGAAAAAGGAGGAAGTTGCAGTTGGATAAATTCTGAGACCTTCATGACTCCGAACTCTTCCTTTTGCCTCGAGTAAAATTATGAAGAAGAGGGGAAAGGCGGGAGGGAGCCGATGTTTGAGGACTTTTGTCACCCTGTCGCTGCACTGAAGGTATGTGTGAGAAATGATATATGTTGATCACTATGTGATGTTTGTATTTTCAAACCTTTCTAATTCCTTTTAGTTTTTTATTATCGTTTCAATTTGCAAAAGATTAAAACGTTGCCTCTGTACCTCAATGATAGAAACGTGTTTTCATAAAGGAAGGTTTATATTTGATCATATTTTATCTTTACAAATCCCTTCCTGCTTTAGGATTAAATAGCACATTGATACGTTATTCTGTTAGTTATGGAGATATTCTACCTTTTTCTAAAAACAACTTTCTGTAACGATGACTTTCTTCTTGCCACTCTTCAATAGAAAAGCAGGTTTGTGGAGACAAACTGTTCTTCCCAGCTCTTTCCAGTTGGATGGACTGAACGGCGCTCAGGTTGGGATGTTTTACAGCCTAACTTTCCCTCATTCTGTCTGTAAACGTTTTAATTGAGGAATCTTTTAACTAATTTACTTATGGTGGTGTTAAATGTTCTGTAAACTCTGTGTGCAGCTGCAAATCTTAGCAAGGATTCTCTTTCTGAAATAAGGGTAAATAATAATAATGATGATTTAAGCATCCTGAAAACTTTCTCCTTTCTGCTGCATTTCTTGGTCTTTATGATGCTGATTGAACGAGCAACACATTCTACATGTTACTATGAAGACAAACCGCTGAGTTTAACTTTGTTTATATCTTTCTTTTTTATCAAGTGATCCACGGTACTCATAAGTGGAAGATTTTAGAGCTTCCTGTCTTTTAAACCAGATGTGCTCCATTCATCATATTTTTGCAAAAAGAACAAATCTGTTTTTTTCTCCTTATTTTTTTTTTTTTAAGTCTGTGAGGATCAGTGTGTTAAACACAAGGTCTGGCTCGGTTAAATTTAATCCAGCATGTTTTGTTTAAAGCGAGAGTAGTTCAGGTCGCGCAATTCACTTTGTCAAAAGCGTCTCGTTCTTTCAGAGAGCAGAGGAAGATGGATTTCATCCTCTCTCCAGTGTGAGAGGGTGATGTTTATAAGACGAGGGCTTCTAATGTCTGGTCTGGTTTAAACTGAGTCTCTGTGTTTCAGGGCAATAAACCAGCTGAAGTAGTCTTTATTAATTTAAACAGGACAGTATAAATCTGCTTTGGAAATGGCAACGTTAGAAATTAGAACCATAAAACATAAAAATGACACAAAGAACTCATTCACCTGTCACCTTTTGCGTGCAAAACAAAATTCATTTATTATTTCATTGAACAAGGATCAGAATCTCAGTGGAAAAAATATAATTTCATATAAAGTTTTGGGACAATATAAAAAATTAAAATAAATCATACTAGCAACTTGAGCGTATTGTATCTGAAATTGGCCAGAACACCGATGAGCATAAATTAACTGATTTTCCATGGTTAAATACGTCAAATAAGAGGCTTAATTCACATGCTGCAAGTTTTCTAATGGTTAAATTTACTAGGACTAAAACTTTATAGAAAGCAGAGAAATCAGAACAATGCACTAAAATAAAACTGTATTGTATTTTTTTTTGTTTTGTTTTTTGCTTGTATTCATGTCCCTTTTGACACAATAGAAGAAAAAGTTCACCCTCCCTTATCCAGCAGGTACATGTTTGTCATTCGTGTCCTCCTCTCCTCTCAGTTGTTGCCCATGGAGCTCCTCCTCGCCAACATCAGCTCCTCCAGGAGCACCGAGGCTCCTCAGCTGCTCCTCACCTCGGCCCAAACTAACTGCAGCACCTGGGATCCACAGTGGGGGGCGCTATACCTGCACAAGTTAACACACCTGGATTTGCAGCTGTACCAGGACTTCTACTCTGTCTGGGTCTTTCTGATGGTGAGGTGATAAATGAGGCTTTCATCAATCATCTGTGATTTAGAAACATTTCAACCCGAGTCTCGTCTTTCCCTCCTGAGTCTCGTCTTTCCCTCCTGAGTCTCGTCTTTCCCTCCTGAGTCTCGTCTTTCCCTCCTGAGTCTCGTCTTTCCCTCCTGAGTCTCGTCTTTCACTCCTGGCTGCAGGTTTGTAACTGTGCGATGCTGGTGGTCGGTGTCGTCCTCAACAGTCTGGCTCTGTTTGTGTTCTGCCGGACCTCCACTCGTTCCTCGGCCACTGTGGTTTACACCATTAACCTGGCGGTCGCTGACCTGCTGGTGGCGCTGTCGCTGCCCGCCCGCATCGCCCTGTACCACAGCGGTGGCAGCTGCGTGGCCTGCTCCTACGTCCACACCTTCAGCTACTTCGTCAACATGTACTGCAGCATCCTGTTTCTCACCAGGTGAGGGGACTTCACTCCAACTGAAACCAGCTGCGAAAGAATCAAACAACACGCGGCATCTATTTAACCCTTCGGAGTAAATAGATGGGAGCCAAACTAATCAGATGTGACCTTGATCTTCTCAGTATCTGTGTGGACCGATACCTCGCTGTCGTCCACGCCGCCAGCACTCTGCATCGATGGAGGACGACCGGAGCCGCCAAGTGTGTCAGCGCCGGCGTCTGGTTCATAGCAGTTGTGGTGACCTACTCTTTCCAGGTGAAGCTTCAACCACTGCAAAGTGTAACGGTCAACATGTCCAAAGTTGAGGATTATTTTAGCTGAACACCTGACAGATATCATCATGCAGATCTTATCTACAGCTCTGGAAAAAATGAAAACCTCCTGATTATTCCACCAAATATTGATCTCTGAACTCTTCCTGAGTTAAAACATTAGTATTGTTGTTTCTAAATAAATATAAATTTGTTTTCTTTGCATTATTTGAGGTCTGAAAGCACTGCATCTGTTTTGTTATTTTGACCATTTCTCATTTTCTGCAAATAAATACAACATTTTTGCTTGACATTTCAGAGACATGATGTCAGTAGTTCATAGAATATGAGAAGAATATTCATTTCACTCAAACAGAAACCTTTAAAGTGTCAAATCAGAGAAGTTGATAATTTTTTAGTGTTCTCTTAATCATTTTCCAGAGCTCTATATCTCTGTTCAGCAGCTCATAAACCAGCTGTAAACAGAAATGTCTCGATCATTATGTCTGTTTATGTGATTACAAAAACCAAAATTATAGTTTTTTCCAGGTTAACTGGGGGATTTTAAGCATAAAAATGTAAAAATGGAATCTAAAATGTAACTTTAAAGTATTATCTAAAATCCACAAGTATTTTTTTAATCATTCAAATGTTCATACGACATTACTTTTGTAAATCTGTGTAATTATTTTTGCTGAATATTCTATAACTTTTATATTCCCAGTTAACACTATACTGCTGATTATTTTAGCATCACATAGACGTAATAAAAAACAACCAACACACATAATTTTGTATGTTTTATGCCTCATATATGCAGTGTTCAACTTCAAAGCTAGTATACAATTTAAAAATAGCAGGCATTATAGAACGGCCCACATTAGATAAAGGCTAAAAAAGAAACCGTATGAATTAGAGAATCTTCAATCAGCAACTGAAAAGCACAAAATATGAGCTCAACTAAATAAACAAAACCTCTGAAAGGGAATTACAAATCATTATGGTGCACATCCTTTACTTTCTTATCCCAGCTGCCTCCAGTTGTGATGTTTAATGTGAATTACAATAAAGCAGCTCTTCACCAGTGAAAGATGCCTGCAAGTCAATGACTCCATGCAGTCTGCAGTTTCATTATACAGACTTTGAAACTACAGCACTGTAGGATCAACTAGAATGTATTTATAACTGAATTGAAATGATATATATATATATATATATTTTTTTGTAAAGTGCCTTGAGATGACTTTTGTTGTGAATTGGCGCTTTACACATGTAAACAAACTGAATTGAACAACCTGGCTGAATTTCTCTCTTCTTTTTCCTGCAGACCAGCGCGTTAAACGTCAACTCCTCCTGCGTGAGCCTCCCTGCCCACTTCTACCTCACCGTGCTGGAGTTCCTGCTCCCCCTGCTGGCCGTGGTGGGGTTCACCGTCCGCGTCGCCTGCTTCCTCTCCTCCCGCCGCGGACTGATTCCCCGGCACAGCCGGGCCAGGAGGAGTCGCGCCGTCCGGCTTTTGGCCGCCGTCCTGGCGATTTTCACCGTTTGCTTCACGCCGTTCCACCTCCGCCAGGTGCTGGTCTACTTCCAGGTGAGGCCGGCAGGGGGAGGCGACGGGCAGCGTGGGGCGGGTCACGTGCTGGCCTATCACCTCACGGTGAGCCTGAGCAGCCTCAACAGCTGCCTGGACCCGGTGGTGTACTGCTTTGTGACCGACAGCTTCAGGGGGATGTGGAGGACGAGGAGACGGACGGCGGCGGGGAGAGACTTGAAAGGTTCGAGCGGCGCAGAAGGGGAGCGGACTCCAGCCAAGAAATGTCCGGGCGCGGCCCTGGCGATAGCTCAGAGCGTGGCCGCACTCACCCTGAGCAGCGCGGCGGCCTCTGCAGCCAGCGTGGACCGGTCCGTGTAGAGAGACCTCACCAGAACCCGGGGAGAAAAACTTACCCAGACTCAATAGACCTTTTTCACGCTTCCGGGTTTTAAAGCGGATGTGGGGTTGGACAACTTCCGGTGGCTATAGCGTTAGCATTAAAAGGCTAGGAAAATGTCTCAGTCTCGGCGCAGTTGTTTTTGTTCAGTCCCTGGTTGTTCATGTGGGGCAAGAAAACAGCCTGATCTGTCATATCATGCGTTCCCGACGGACCCGGACCAACGGAGGCAGTTTTTCTCCTGATGCCAGAATGTCAGGATCTGGAAGTGGTCCTACAAACATCAGTGACATAATCATAATAAATTTTGACAAAGGAAACATACGTGTAAAAATAAAGCAAACATTATACCTGTGTAAGCTCTGTAAAGTGTGGAGTGCAGATATCTTTTCCCCATAGTTTTGGGCTTCCGCACCACCGTGTTGCTGGCAGGTTCAGGATTTATCCCCTTACAAAAAATACACAGAAAGATGTCAAACTAAAGAACAAATAAATGGATGAGTGAGCAATTTGTTAGGACATAATGGGACTGATTTGGCACAGTTTAGATTTTTACCCAACTTGCAAATAAATTAATTGATAGCAGTTGAGCCTGTTTTTTTTCATTGCCTACAAAAAAAGAAATATTTGAAACAAACTATGAGAGAAATTATATTTCACACAAGTAATATTGAGATTACAACAAATTTTATATGGCGATTATAAAACACAGGTGGGAAAGGAACGTAAATGGCAGTGCGACACAATCAAAGGAGGAATAAATTGTGTACATAACTATAGTACTGTTATTTTAAGATCATATGTGTATGATATGCAATGTATATAATTTAGCATATCTAGTATATTTATATATCACATCCCACAGGACAATGTGTTCCACTCTTTTTTTCTTGCTTGTGTTCTTGGTCTGTGCCATCTTTGTAAATCACTTGTGCAGGAGGAACAGTTGGCAGCTGGAGTTGGGTGTAGTGTGCAGTCTGGTAAAGAAGTGCAACTACATGATTGCAAAAACCTTTACCAGCTGCACAGCTACAGGAATAATCCAGTAATTCAGCCTTTTCTTTTCCAACACCCAGTGATGTCTAAAATAGACAACTGTTTTAGTAACACATATATACATATAGCATGTTTAGCTTTAAACAATAGACTCTAGTTTGAAGGTAAGCTTCAACAACAGCAGAAAAAACACAGACTATGTTGCAACCGCAACAAAAACAGAAAACAAATAGTCCCCTCTGAACAGGAAGATGTTAGAAAAAAGCTCTGAGTTGTCCAGAAGTCGTACGTGGAAGTTCTTCATCTGTCACATATGATCAGGAACTCGAACTACCGAACAAGAGCCAACCGGCTTTCTGACTGTTTCAAACCTGCAGCTTATGCGGTTCCTCATTTTTCTTCATGGATCTGAAGCATCTAGCTCTGACAACTATCTGTCCCTCCACAATATTGGACACTGCAGGCATGAGTAAAGCATGTCCAATGCAAGAGTAAAGCACAGTTTCAACATCAAGCGTCATCTAGTATCTCACAACTAAGTCCTAGCATGTTGTTTTTCACAAACTGAACTGGCAAATACATTTAAGAATGTAATCAGAATATAATTGAAAAGTTTAAATTATGTTTGTCTCTAATATTCCACGTAATTTAGCAAACTAAGTTAAGCTTCATTACGATGTTTGTGTAGTTCATATATTGTAGCTAGCGGTTAGCTCGCTAAGCTACGTCTTTTCTTACCTTGATAGCGGTGGATATATTTTTCGTGGAAGAACTTGTATCCTTTCACACGTTTTGTTGGTGGATGAATTAGCCGCTGCGATTTCCTCCGCATCAGCGAAAGAAAGGACTGGCAAATTAAGTAAGGACGATGAAAAGGACCGGAGGAGAAGAGCCATTTTTCAGAGTACTTGAATTACAGTTACCAAAACAGGAAGTGCCGCAGCCCTGTCAGATAGAGCTTCAGGTTGCCGTGAAATACCCCAGCCCCCGCCCTGCCCCACGGGGCCGGGGCATTTGTGCGCATGCGCGGGGCCGGGACGGTTGTGCGCATGCGCGAGGTTGGGGTTGTTGTGCCCATGCGCGAGGTTGGGGTTGTACGCATGCGCGGGGCCGGGATATTAGTGCGCATGCGCGGGGCCGGGATATTTGTGCGCATGCGCGGGGCCGCATAAAGCGGATGTTGGGTTGGATAACTTCCGGTGGCTATAGCGTTAGCATTAAAAGGCTAGAAAGATGGCTCAGTCTCGCGCAGTTGTTTTTGTTCAGTCCCTGGTTGTTCATGTGGGGCAAGAAAACAGCCTTATCTGTCATATCATGCGTTCCCGACGGACCCGGACAGACGGAGGCAGTGGATCCAGGCGATCCGAAAGATGAAGGTCCGGGATTTTGCATAAAGACGGGGAGCACTTTCGTATGTAGCCGCCACTTCACACCGGAAGATTTTGTTAGCGGATCCACCACCAGCCGCCTTAGAAGTGGAGCTGTTCCTTCCCTGTTTGCCTGGAATAACTTCACTGCACCGGCAATGAGAGAGTCTGCTTTCGAGAGGGCGAAGAAACTGCAGTTTGTCCTCTCAGAAAGCCAGCCAGGCTGAAGATGGTACTGCGAACCATGACAACACGGCACATCCACCCGCAGGTAAAAGATAGTATATTGTATATATTTTCCATGTAAGAGAATTTCAGTAAATATATAACTGTTGCTATATTATTATTATTCTGATCACATAATTATGAAATTATGTGGTTATGTATTTTGTGGAGAGATTAAGTCAATGGCTGTATACATACATGCTGCGACTCACAACATGTATTGATTTTCACAGAAGTAATGTTTCAAATATATAATTAAAACTTATTGCTAACCGTATGTTTTGCTATTTTATTTAGTGGTTTTACAGGTGCACTTGATGAAGCTCTGGATTATATTAAGGAGCCCAAACTTCAAAAAGTGGATTTGTCTGCTACACTTTTCAGCCGCTACTGTGCCTCTGATGACCAGATCCGGTTCTGCACCAAATTTCCATTTGAATGTGTGTTCCGGATCTTCTGGAGTCCATTGCACCCTCTGCATCACACCTGGTGTACTGGACGAGAGCACAGAAACTTGGAGAGGAAGCATGTGCTGAAGCCAGCCCTGCCCGCTGCATGTCTCTGATTGATGAGTTCCTGATGTTCTCATTCAGGGTTGCAGTGGGCATCAAGGAGCAGCTCATTGCTGACATGTTTCAAGTCAGCCATCACCTGGGCCAACTACCTCTTCATTGTGTTCTCTTCCATCAACCTGTGGATTAGTCGTGAGAAGGTAAAAGCCAGTATGCCTCAGAAATTTCTGAAGTTCTCTCCAAATGTCCTTGTCATCTTGGACTGCACAGAAGTTGCTCTGGAAACGCCATCATCCCTCACCTTACAGTCTGAAACGTTCTCTGCCTACAAGAACCACTCCACTCTGAAAGGGCTGATTGGAGTTGCTCCCTGTGAGTTGGTGACATTTATTTCAGCGTTGTACTCAGGCTGCATCGCCGACAAAGAAATAACGAAGGTCAGTGGAATCCTTCCTCTGCTTGAGCTGGGAGATGAAGTCATGGCAGATAAAGACTTCCTCATTTAAGACCTCCTTCATGAAGTTGGAGCCAAACTCATCATTCCACCATTTAGGCATCCTGGTCAGTTCAGCAAGGAAGAGACAGAGGAGACCTAGACCATCGCTCGGCTGCAGATCATTGTAGAGCTTCCGGTTGCCATGAAAAAGAGAGAGCAAGAGGACGTCTTAATCACCATTACATGTTTTTAGGCTCATTCTAGTGTCAGCCATTATTTCAAATAAACACCAAAGTTCCCCACATTAAAACAGTCAAAATAGAGCATTTTAATGTGTTTAGAGGGCGTCTAATTAGACCAAAAATTACTTTTAAAACAATGTGGGTTATCTTTAAATATCTTAACTGGAGAAGGACAATGAATGTTGGAAAGCCAACACAGAACCCGTCCACATTAAACCCGTCCACATTAACTGGCACAAATCTATAAAGTAATCCATCTTTAGTCAAGAAAAAAAAAAAACACATGGTAACAATCATAAATATATGGCGAATTCAAATAGATGTAAACGCACACAAAGCATAAAATGATGGAAATAAAGTAAGAAAAAAAGAGTTAATGTTGCTTTTATTTCAGTGCTATCAGAAAAACTTGTTTTCAGCTGCTAAAAGTTTACAATGTGCGCTGATCAGCTTTGACCCCTGGTAACGCCCCTTTATTATGCACGAAAACTCACCGTTTTGATAACTTTTAATCGGCCACGCCATATGATAATCTGACCAAGTTTGAAGCCGATCGATCGAAATCCCTAGGATGAGTTCAATCAAATGCGAAGGCTGTAAACGGCAAAAATGTTCTGAGATCTGGAGAGTTTTAGATTTGGAAATAAATAATTTGCTAAAAGTGCAACACATGTTTGAACATTTTAAAATCAAACTAACAGATTTCTTTTTTTCTTTTACTATGAATCAGTCTTTAAAATAAAAGGAGGGCAGAATGGTAATAAGAAGAAGAAACTGTTCAGGTTACCCCACCTTTCATCCAGTGATTGCTGAAGACTGGCACCAGTTAGTATCAATACTAGACATATTAACAAGAAGAAGAACAACAGTTTTATACTATGAACTAAGTGTTGACATTCAAAATAATCTCCATTTGCTTTCTTGGTCATATTTTTATTTCATTCCATTTTCTACACTCTGTTTTATAACTTTTTTTGTGTTATTAATAAATCTGTGTTTGTAAACCTTTATGTCTCTCTTTCTCTCTGACACAGTTAGCATCAGCAGGAACAACGATCACATGAAGAATCTGGGTCAGACTCAGAAAACATCCAAAACACGAGTGTCAAGTTCCCCCTCAGGTTTCTCTGCATGGAGAAAGCAGAGTGGACCGTCCACTGTGCTCGGGTTCTGAATCCACAAAACAAAGTGTCTCTTGCTTTTTGTTTTCTTTCTTAAAATGATCACAAGTCAGCTGCTTATGAGATTGTTTTTGTCCGTAAAGGGATGAAAATTGAAACCGTAAATGCTCGGGATGCAGACCAACAAGTTTCTGAATCGTCTAACAATTGTTCAGTTCCTCTTCAATCCGAAGCCCTGCAATTATGAATCTGTGGAACATCAAATGTAATGATTTTGTCCTTTAAATAATCAACAAACCACAAATTCTCTTAACGTAGGGTAGATCCAAAATACATTTATTTTGTATTTTCCATATGTTTACACTTTAAACATACGGCATTTGTTCGCATGCTTCTCCCAGACTTGGTTGCCATTTCTCAGGACACACA